ATCATTTTCAAGTTTTAGCTTTGGCAATCCTCTTACTAAATCTCCTTGAATAAATCGTTGTAAAACACTCATACTAGCATATACTAGTCTCCTATGTCATAGCAAACTATCATGTTCATCCTTAGCAACTAGGCATAAGTTAGTCATATTTATAGAATCTAAATGCACCATGTATATGTTTCCTATTCTATGACCAACAAGCATAATCTGATTAGATGCAATGTCAATGACTTTACAACCATTAGTTTCAAACATGACATTGTATCCCTTATCGCATAATTGACTAATACTCAATAGATTATGCTTTAACCCATTCACATATAACACATTTTTAATTTGTATGGAAGAGGTATTACCTATAGTACCTATACCTTCAATGTGACATTTTGAATTATCACCAAAAGTCACCTCTCCTCTATTTTTGTCGTTTAGCTCTATGAATCGGCTCTTATCTCTAATCATGTGTCTTGAGCATCCACTATCAAGGTACCATGAGTTTGAATTTGTTTCTCATGCCTTGTAGCAATGGTCATTTCCCTACAAACATAGATTAATTTTTTATTTTTGGTACCCAAATTCTTTTGGGTCCATATTCATTAGTTTCTAAAATCCTAGTCTCATTGGGTATCCATTTGTGTAGGATATCCTTATCTTTAGTAGTAATGAGTTCTTTAGGAACCCATATACTTCTAACAATTTTACCATTAAAGGTTCTTTGAGGATCTCTATGATTGTAGTTTTTAAAACTTTTTTTAACGAAGTTGGATTTTGAATTTTCTCATTTTTTCAAAACGTTTTGTCCAACTTTATTAAAAGAAGCTTTAAGATCATCAATTTCTTTTTTATGATCATCGTTAACCTTTAAAAGTAAATTATGTAAATAAGAAAATTTCTTTTCAAACTCATCTAGTTTGATTTGCAAATCTTTGACTTTACTTTCAATATCATTGTTCGTCTTGGTCATGAGATTATTTTCGTTTTTCAATTTTGAAATATCTTTCTTATATTTCGAAAATAATTTTTCATAATCCGAAGCCAACCCAATATATTCCTCTACTAACTCATCAAATGAATAATCTTCAAAATCAGATGAGTTAGAGGTTACCTGAGAGCTTTCCCTGATAGCCATCAAGCACAAGTTTACTACTTCTTGTTCCTCTTCATTGGAAGCTTCTTCATCGCTCCATGTAGCCACGTGTGCCTTGTGCTTTATTTTCGATTGGCCCTTCTTCTTCAATTATGGGCAATCTTACTTGACATGACTTGGATTTTTACATTCGTAGCAAATGATATGGTCTTTTTCCTTCGGTTAATTTTTGAAGCCTTCATTTCATTTGAATTTTCTTCCTCGGTTGGGCTTCATCAGTTTTCTGAACTGCTTGGCAAATAATGTCATTTTCTTGTCATCGCCATCTTCATCCGAATCACTCTCATCTTTTTGTAGATTTGAGAGCAACTCTAGCGTTCTTCTTCTTCATCTCCTTCTTTGTTTCGTTTATCTTTTCGAGGTCTACCTCATCTTGAAGCATCGTTTCATGCGTGAAGAGAGAACCAATTAGCTCATCGAGGGTTAAAGATTTTAAATTTTTAGCCTCGATAATCGTTATCTTCTTTGATTGCCAAGCTTTTGGAAGTGAGTAAAGTAACTTCCTTACAACCTTCTCGTTTGGAACGATCTCTTCATATGATTTGAGACCATTGACAATCACATAAAATCTATTCGTCATATCTTTGATGTCTTTATTCGGTTTCATCCTGAAATTTTCATAGCTATGAGTTAGAAGACTAATTTTAAATTATTTTACCTCGTTTATGCCTTCATGAGTGACTTGTAGTTTATCCCATATTTCCTTGACAGTTGTACAAGATGAAACTCTTCCGTATTCATCTGGTCCAAGAGCACAAAATATAATATGGATAGCCTTTGAGTTGAGCTTGAACATTCTTGTCTCTGCTTCACTCCACAATCTTGAATGAATGAAAGGTATGATGTATCCGTCATCTATAATATTTCATGCTCCCATGTCACTTGCTTGAATGAAGTATCTCATTCTATTATTCCAATAAGCATAATTAGCTCAATTGAATAAATAAGGCTTGTTGACAGGCATTGAATCAAGAATAAAGCCATAGTTTGAAGTTGAGGCCATTGATGACTTGATTATCGATATAACTCTTCCCGAATCGACTCAAGAGGCAGTTAAACCTTCAAATGAGTTAGGCTCTGATACCAATTGTTGAGTTAATCAATCGATGAAATAGCCAAGAGGGGGTGAATTGACAATTAAAATTTTGGTGGAAGCTTTTGCAGAAAATAGAAAATATTTGCACATTGATTTAGAGTGGTTCGACTTTCTCAACCAAAGTCTATGTCCACTACCTTAGCTATCCACACTAAGGATTTTCCAACAAATTCACTAATTTGTTCTTTCTTTTGAGGACAAAGAGTAACCTTACAACTCCCTCAAGAATTATACCCCAAATTCTTGAGAACACTCTCTCCCAAAGAAAAGATTACAACTTTCACAAACTTACTGAAAAACCTCACAAGGCAAGATGTTTGCACAATTCTAGAACAAGAAAAGAACACTCAAAGATGATTACAAATGAGCACAATATGTGTTCTTGAAAGCAAAATGAATATTGAATGAAAATTGGCTTGAATTGCACAAACTTGATGTTTGATGCTTTCTCTCTTAAAACCTTGGATTAATTCTAGCCGTTGGGAATCATTTGGGTGATGTTAAAGCCGTTGTAGTGTGAAATCCTCTTGAAAAAGGCTATTGGGAGCGTGGGGTATCGGTACACCTTCAATGGGTATCGGTATCTGCAGTGTAAATTTCAAATATTTCGACCGTTAAATGACTAAAGGTATCAGTACCTCTAGGGGGAATCGATACCCATTGGGCATTCTTTTCTTCTCGGAGCCAAAGTTAACACAAGGGTATCGGTACCTCTGGTTTAGGTATCGGTACCTCTGGTTTAGGTATCAGTACATTTTTGCATAGGGGTATCGGTACCCTATGAGGGGTATCGGTACCCATTTGACATTCTGTTTTTCTTGGAGCCGAAATCAACATATTTGAAGTATAAAACACAATTTTACACTTAAGTAAGGTTTGAAATTGACATTTGAAAACTTGGAGTAATACTTTGATATTCGAATAATTTAATCGAATATATAAATTAAAATTCAATATAAAATCTTAAAATTCATTAACACTTTATTTGTTATATCGAAACATCAAAATGTTTTCAACAGGTTTTGTAATAATGAAACTGGTTTTGTCATATTTTTACCTGTTATTTTATATGTATTGATACATTTTTATAAAGTATCGATACTTTCAACATATCTTGTAGCTCTTTATCGGTTTTGTCATAATGAAACTGATTTTGTCATATTTTTACCTGTTATATTGTTATGTATCGATATATTTTTATAAAGTATCGATACTTTCAACATATCCGGTAGCTCTTTACCGGTTTTGTCATAATGAAACTGGTTTTGTCATATTTTTACCTGTTATATTGTTATGTATCGATACATTTTTATAAATTATTGATACTTTATAGGTGTTATTACTGCTTTTCTTTTAAATTCCAAAAGTGCCGATACTTATTTAAATGGAATTGATACTTTCAACATATCAGGTAGGTAGTTTAATGTAATAGGTATCGCCTATTTTTTTACCGTTTACATTATTAACAACCTTAAAAAAACCGGTAGGTATTTTAATGTAATAGGTAACACCTATTTTATTTTATCTTTTACATTATTAGCAATCTTTAAACAAATCGGTAGGTATTTTAATGTAATAGGTAGCGCTTATTTTTTTACTGTTTACATTATTAGCAACCTTCAAAAAAACCGGTATGCAGTTTAATATAATAAGTAGCGCTTATTTTTTTTTTACCGTTTACATTATTAGCCGTTTTTAACAGGACACTTGTTTAACCAGTTACGTCTTTTTTAGCCTTTTTTTAACCGCCTCACACCAAAACTTCTCCAAAGTTGATGGTGTTGAATATTTAGTGGTTGAAGGAGAGGGAGGAGACATGAAGAAGGACGAGATGTAATTTTCTTTTAAATATTTTTAAAATATAATAATTTATTTTTAAATTAAAAAATATTTAAAATTATCATAATACTAAACGTGTCACTTAATTAAATTTTTTTGAAAATCATTACAGATAAAACACATAAAATAATAACATTTGTAATATTAAACACATAAATCCCGTTAGAAAATAATTTAAACATCTAAGAGTGCGTTTGGTTAACGGAATATAAGATTACCAGCTAGGAATGTTGTATTTTGTGTTTGGTTGGTTTAGCAAGAATGTAATATTACCTTGTTTGGTTAAAGAAATAAAAGATTATTGGAATGTATATTTGACCAAATTATCCTTATTATATATTTATTTTTTAACAAGTTGGAAAATATTTATGTGCTTTCTTTATAAAATTTAAATTCATAAAATTTATATAAATTTTTTACAAAATTGAAAATATAAAAAGGTTTAATGAAAGGGTAAAATTTTATTTTAACCTCTGAACTTCATATAAAATTTTAATTATAGATTTTTTTTGTAAATCTAAAATAGTTTAAGGATAAATTTATAATTTAACTTTCATAGATTTTTTATTTTTCAATGAGAGAATAATGATATTTTTTTAAAAAAAAATTTAAGGGTATTTTAATATAAAACGTCGGTAATCCAACAATACCTAAGAGAAGGGGTAATGACATTCTTGATAATATACAAAAAAATATCTACTATTAATAATAAAATATTACCAAAAAAAAGATTCCCAACCAACTAAATGAGAGAATATAGATTACATTCCAATAAAAATTTCACATCTTCTTATCCAAATAGCCCCTAAAGTAAAAATTTTGTTGTTTGGATTATAAATGAAGCCTATTTTTATCTAAAAAGGGCTGAAAACGTGGCTTTATCCCGCGTAGTACAAATATAGGTCTCTCGAATTCTCTACTTCAAACCACTTCAAGAATATTCAGGTTTCTTCAAGTCTATATAACCAAATAATTCAAGCCCGCCGCTTCAACCGCCGTCTATGGCGACGACACCGCCATTCTTACACTCAATCAACCCCAACCCTTTAACTCAAGCCTCCTCTCGCCTCCCAGACGACACCGTGTTCTACTCCATCTACCCAGACAATTCCTTTTCCCAAGACTCCCTTCAATCCCTTCACCTCCAAATCCTCAATTCCGTTTCCCCTTTCGTTTCCTCTTACATTTGGCAGCACGAACCCTTCACTCTCTCCATTTCCTTCCACCCATTTCCTCATCTGCAAGGCCGCCTCCGTTTCGGCGACAATCTAAACGACGAATGGTTCACCGTTTTCCTCCTCTTCCAAATCTCTCTCTCTTTCCCTTCCCTTTCCATCCAAGTCCACGATTCCGATGGCGAGTTCCTCCTGATTGAAGCCGCTTACCATCTCCCTCGTTGGCTAAACCCCGAAAACTCTAAAAACCGCACGTTTATCCGACGCGGGAAACTCCATATCATCCCCAAAAGCTCCCTCGCCAACCCAACCGTAATCGAATCCCTAAAATTCCTAACAGAAATCGGACAAGCCGCTGTCGCGCCGGATTCGATTCAATCCGTCATACAAAGCCGGATCGCAGGGTATCCAGAGAAAGCGAAACTGAACACTCATACAGTGAGGGTTCGGGTTCCGGTGACGGTAGCGCAGGTGTTGAAACACAGGCCGTCGTTGATTTCTTTAGCCGTGGAAGGGTTTTACGACCGCGATCTGGATTCGATGAAACACGCGGCGAAGATGGAACAGTTTTTGAAGGGAGGGAAAGACGTGGAGATGGTTTCAGTGGCGGTTAAGATGTCGAGGGCGATGTACGCGCAGCTGATGCAGCAGAGGTTTCAGGCGCCGAAGTGTTATCCGATGCCGCCGAAAAAGGGTGATTTGGAGGCGGAGCTGGGGATGAAGATAGCGTGTGGGTTTGAGATGATGTATCAGGAAAAGAAGAAAGAAGGGGAAGAAGGGAAAGGGAGTGACTGGAAAATGTACAAAGAGAGTTTGGAGAAGAGTGGGTATTTCAAAGGGTTGATTCCTGGGTCTAAAGAGTATAATAGGTTGATGGAGAAAGCTGAAGAATATTATAGGAACAGTTCTTTGTTTCCCAATACCGGGTATGATTTTGGTTTCTTACCTCATTTTTCTAATCGGTATTACAGTTCTGAGCCTGTGTCTGTGATTATTGTTGCAGTGAAATGCTGAATGCTCCTGTGAGACAAATAGATGAGATTCTTTCTTTACCATATTCAGCGGATGATTTTAAGAATAAGGATATTCCACATTCCGATGATGATTCCTGGCTTTACAGTGGAGAGGAGGAGTTGAACTCTGTTCTCCTGGATAGGCAAAAGGAGATGGAACTTTATGAGCTTAAACACAAAAAGAAGTCAAAAGAGCAGCAGGGTACTGATGCATCATCCAGCTCAAAAGGTGAAGATTTTGATCTTAGTGAGCTTGTGAAAACTATGCAGGGCTTTATCCATAAGGTGTCAAGCTATGAGGGAGCTGAGGTTCCTGTAGACAGGTTGGTGGACCTTTTAATCTAAGCTAATTCTGCTTATGAAATTTGTTCCTAATTTGATCTGTGTATAATAAATTTTCATTATCATATTTTTACCTCCATTTGCAGGGATCCTAAAGAAGTGGAACTTGATGTAGAGAGCTTTATGAAGGACGTGGAATCGGTAATAAAATACCAAGGTGATGAAAATTTGACTGGTGATGTGGATGAGGAAGGAACTTCAGACATGGACTTTGGTAAGAACTCTGTGTAACTGGAAAGTGACAGTTTGCATTATTATAGGATTGGCTAATTAAATATGTCACACACAAAAACTATTATCTCTTGCAAACAGGACACATACATAATTGCTCTGTTCATGACCTTCGTGAAACAGTTAATTTCCCATAAGTTACTTGAATAATAGTCATCCATTTTCAGTGATATGCATACTTACACTTTTTTTGGCCTGAAACTCTGGATTATCATTTATAATTTAGATTCGGTTATTTTCATGTCTACAACACCTTAATTTTCTCAACATATGTCTGAATGTATATGATTTAGATATCTGAGAGACATCACTTTGTGCAACTAGGGAATGGGTGAAATTTGATTCCTTGTTTTATATTTGCCCGTTTGGAATTATATTACTGAAGTTGAAAGGCAATTTTTTTATGACTTGGGATATGGAAAGTGGTTTATATTTTGTAGTTCATAGTTTAAAGCAATCGTTTTATAAAAAATTTAGTGCTTTTAGATTCAACCATTTGTCTTCTCCTAAAAACAACTTCTCAAAAAGTTGTCCCTTTTCTTTGTTGGTGAGGGGGCTGTTGGCCATTTTTATCGAGGCTTCTCACTTCCCTTTCCCTACTGTATATACATTAGTCTAATAAACAGGTGCAGAAGTGCTTTAGCAGATGATCAGGGAATTAAATGTTCCTCTCTAAATATTTTAGGGACTGATTGAAATTTATTAATGGAACTTTCAGATGAATCTGAGGATGGAAGTGACATGTCTGATCGTGAGGACGGAGAGGATTCCTTCATGCATTCTTATTCTGATGTTATGAATGATGAACTGAAGAGTACTACCCTCAAGAAAAGCTTCGTTCATGCAAATGAGCAGACCTCCAATAAGAATGAGGTATATTTTTGCCTTTTGCATAGGGATACTATATTGGACTTCAACATGACACATCCCAAATTCCCAATGTTTTACCATTTGTAATTCATGAATTCTGCTGCTATAGAGAATCTGTGATTGGAACTATATGTTTGACAGAAGTGTGAATGACTTTGCTTTAGACGACTGAAACACAGAGACATTGTAAATCTAGGCTTTGCTTATGTTTTCTGTTGGCCAACATATTTCGGTCTCAGTTTGTTGACTGCAGCATGGTCCTTAATGTGCGAGTATATATTGTTTCAGGGAACATCCAATGCAACAGAAGATATGGAGGAAGAGTTTAGTCCTGTGGATGTGGATGTCAACCTTGTTAAAAATCTGCTAGACTCATTTTCTTGTCAACAAGGACTTCCTGGTCCAACTTCCAATTTGCTTGGGCTGATGGGCGTAAAGCTTCCTAAGGATGACAGTAAGGGAAAATGAGATTGTACCCGGAAATATTAGATATCCATTGTATTTATGTGTAGTTGCCGCTTAACCTAAAATGCAGCAAGTAGCTATGAAAATTTTATATCTAGAATCCACCGCAATTTTCAACCTGTGCTTCAGTCGTAGGATTAGAGTCTTCATTTTTTCGCTGTATAATTTGACAAGTTCAAAAGGTGCATATGACTTGAACATGGGTTTATGGGTTACCCCACCTTTCTAAAAGAGATGGAATCCGGTTTTAACAAAGCTGGGTGTCGGAGCTTTTTAACGATAAACTAATGCAGCAGACGATGTGCTTTTAGCACTTTATGGGGTGATGTCTCAAGGAAGGAGAGCAGGTCTTCTTATTTGTGAAAATTTGGGCAATTTGCTTCATTGATCCAAAAACTACAAAGAATGACAAACAAACAAAATTTTGTAGAGGTCTATTATAAGAATGACTTTTCCAATCTAGTTTGTTTTGTTTGCAATTACCAAAACTCAAATTCATGATATTTAAGAAATGTAATGTCTTGTTTCATTAAACTAATTAATTGTTGGTGTTTATTAATTTTTATTTTGCGTAATTAAAAATAAATATAAATGTAGAACAAATATAAATATAGACCTAAATGGAACCTTAATTCCATAAGCTCATTTGATAAATGTATATCTGACAAATATGATTTGAATTTGATTATTTAAATTGATTTATATGATTTGATACTTTATATAAGTTCAAGTATGATGATTCAAAATGATTTAAAACTTAAAACAAAGAGAATCAATTTAAATTTGACTTGAATTTTAGCTGGATCTATATGGAATCGAATTAAAAATAACTTAAATCGAATATATCTTGATTAGAAAATATCTTGAATGAGAGGAGCGAATAGCAACACACCGTCCCTCACCAACAATGCAGAAAACACTCGTATGACATGTCTGGTTACCAGAGTAAAGGTGTAATCTATTGGTCGTGATATAATTTTTAAGATTAATGTTGTTTGGAGTATTATTTTGATAATTATATTTAAAATGGGGTTATTCCCATAAATTAGCCCATACACTACTAAATGCGTTTAAGGCGAATGCTGTTAATGGAATAAGAAAAACTAAAAAAAATCCATGGAGAAGATGTCAGTGTCTGTGTGTGACCGAGATCTACAAAATGGGATCTGTCTCGTGATTCTTGTTGTTGTCTATTTTGAGCTCATTTCTATATTTTATTCTTCAAGACATTGACTCATCCTTAGAAACCCTGTCACCAGTTCACCACCAATCAATTAGTACTCCAAGGAATCCAACTTTGAAACAAAGGAACGGTTGTCGTCTAATAACAAACAGGTTCATGTCTGATTCAACTGTTCTCATTGAATCAGTCGTGCAAACATTCATTTGAACTAATTATCTGTGTCCTTTTACATTGACTAGTGACTCTTTTAATCCTGTTCCATTTTCTCTTTTGGGTTTTTAAGCAAAGAACAGGAGATGGTGCAGACGACTATTGACCACTTGAAGGAAGAACTTCCATTGGAAGAAGGCTCTTTGGTTCTTTCTCAGGATGTTAAGACTGGTCTTGTTCTTTGTTAATGGCTTCTGTACTAATGGAGCTGGAAATCTGGTAAATTGAACTCTACCAAACTTTCTTTCCCCCTCAAACACGTCTTTCCATTGCTGTCTGCTTATAAACCTGAACAACATGTAGTTTCTTCAGGCTTTTAATGATCTAAATCAATAACTTCTGTTATATTTTGGACAAATGGTAATCTGGGTTCTTGTATTCTCTCTTGTTTATACAGGCTCCGATAAAACCTGATAAACAGATATCCGATATGGTTGAGGAATCTGAGAGACTAGCTAGGATATTCTGTGAGAGAAAATGGCCTGTTTTTGCTTTCCTTGATTCCCATCATCCTGATATTCCCGAGCCTCCATCCCCTCCTCATTGCATTGCTGGAACTGATGAATCCAGATTGGTCCCCGGTACTTTATATGACTGCTTATGATTCTTATTTATTCATTAATTTGTTCCTTTTCATTGGATGAATTCAATGACATGTATGTTTATACATACTAGCTCTACAGTGGCAGGAAAATGAGCCGAATGCAACCCTCAGATGCAAAGACTGCATTGATGGTTTCCTTGGTTCTATTGAGAAAGATGGTTCCAATTTGTTTGTAGGCTGGATTAAGAATAATCAGATTAAATCTGTAAGTATATTTTTCCCATGATCATAACAGACAGTTAAGTTTTGATTGTTCTTTTTATAGTTCAGTCTCACATTTCCTTTTTCTGGATCTTGAAGATACTGGTTGTAGGAATATGCACAGATATATGTGTACTGGATTTCGTATCTTCGACATTGTCTGCTCGAAATCGTCAGATTCTGACCCCTCTCGAGGATGTGATCATCTACTCCAGTGCTTGTGCAACTTTCGATCTTCCTGTTCATGTAGCCAGAAATATCAGTGACGCCCTGGCTCATCCTCAGGTACTTAAAGAACCATGGATTATAAGTTTTGAGACTTTAATCCTTATTTTTAGGTTCAAATTGATAAAAAAAAACTCCTTGAAATATTGTTCTTCGGCAGGATCTGATGCATCACATAGGTCTATACATGGAAAAAAGTAGGGGAGCTAAGATTGTATCTGAGGTCTCTTTTGCTGCTCTATAAGACTCCATGTGTATTATATGTGAATTTGCACTGAGATAACCAGTGAAATTATACAAATATTCATCTCATGCTGGTAATTACAGATAGACATATTTAGCCAACAGAAAACATGCTCTTCCAGTTCACACAGAAAATGAGAAAAGGAAAAAGTGTGGTCTTCTGCGAGAGTATTGATAAAAGCGAAGAAAGCATCTTTGAAGCTAACAAACACAATGAAACAGCTTACCTATTTGCTACTATAAAACGATCTTAGACCAATGTATTTTCGATGCAGTGCAGGGTGTACGCAGTCGAATATCGATGTCTTTTGCTTTTTCGGTTTGACACCAAAGATAAATGACCTCAAAGGAATTCTATTCCTAGTATCCGAGTGTTGTTGGCCACTTCGATTGTTCTTGGATCCTGGAAGTTCCAAATCTTCAGTCAACTTTGCCAAAGTCCTCTCAACTTCAAGCTGCAGTGTTCTTGCAATATCTAAACCAGCTTGGAGTTCTTCAGCAACTTTGTTATTCTCTTTTTTCATGTTCGAAATCTCTCCTAGGAATTTCGCCGCTTGGTAACTTGTGAGCCTGAAATCATCATCTGCAGCACTTGCTTTCGATTCCTTTGTTATCTCTTCTTGAATGTCACACAAAGATGAAAATCGGTTCTTCAGTTCATCTTTCAGTAATAAGCTTCTTTCAACCCAAGTATTCAGTTCTGTCTGAACTTCTGTCAGGTGTTGGTACAATGGTTGCACGTCCGATATTAATGGAGACTTCACTGTGCCACTTTCATCCTTCTTTTTTCGCTCATCGAGTTTCAATACCTCAACCTGTATACGCTTCACTCCATTCTCAAACTTCAGTACCTCTTGGACTGCAGTGTTGAATCTGAACCAGCAATCCAAGTTCTCATTTAGCAGTTCATCGATTTTCATACGGAACTTTTCTTCTATTTCTGAAAGAGTTTGAGATTGATTATGGAGCATCTCCCCAATGTCTTCTCTTACTTCCTCTTCGGATGGTGAAACCAGTGAGGTTTCAACCACCATCGATTTCTCAGTACTTACTCTAGGTTCAGCATACTGATCAGTATTGTTGTTTTCACCGAGACCTGTTCGAGAAAGGTTTAATTCCTGACGCAAGGATAGAATCTCTTCGTCTTTCATTGCATTAATGTTCTTCAGTTCCTTTAGCTGCAACATAATATCAGACAGGCTCTTCTGGCTATTCGTCTCTACTTCCATGAGCTTTTTCTTGGTATCCTTGTAGTTCCTAAGCATTGTAATGAGTTCCATCAATATATTCTTCTCTCTGTTGTCCATACTTTCCAAGAATAACTGCTTCCAATATGGCTCCTCCTCGGGCCCTCGTTTGGGTTCTTTCGATTCATTTTCGGCAAGAGTCCGCACTGTCATTGAAGAAGCTTGCTCTTTTATCTGGTATTCATATTTCTCTGAAGGCTTAGAAGTTTCATGACTAACACTGCCTTCATTGGCAGAAACAAGAGTGTCCTCTTCTTTTCGTGATGGAACAGAGACCGCAGCCATCTCCAGTTTCACAATCGGTAAAATTCCACATCCATCACTTGCTTGCTGGTTCATGTCCTTTTGCTTTTCAGTATCCAATTCGGATTTGACATCAGCTGGAGAGTTCTCCCTTTCTGATACATCAGCAACCTCAGACTCCTGGCCTGCATTCACCTTCTTCGGCATCTTGTCACAATCATTGATCTTGTTCTCTGATGATTCGATCTCGTCGATTTTGACATTATGCATTTGCACCGAAAGGCGATCTATATTACAACGTGCTTCAGTAAATTGAGTTTGGAGCTCATTGTTTCGGTCTTCTACAATCTGTTTCAAGTCCTGAACCCAATGCAACTTCTCTTCCATCTTCCTTAACTTGTTCATCAAGTGGATTTTTCCATCAGCAAGGCTGCATTTATCAACATCTAAAGCCTGAATCTGGGCTTGAAGTTCATCAGTTTCTACCCTTAGTCTCTCGATAAGAGCCGACTGAGATGAGACCGCAGTTTCTAAGTTGAGCACGTTGTTCACAAGTTCATCAATCTTGTCCTCCATTTCTGCAACACTCAAAGATTCACCGAGGCCAACCTCAAACTTCTCTTTCATCTTATCCACTAAGGACTCCATGTCCATTCTCTTTTTGGTACCTTCACACTCCCCATCTTCTGCGGCAGATGGATTTTCCAGGCCGAATTCGTTTAAGACAAACTTGTTCTTGAGTACAAACAACTTCTCCCTGGCATCCTCAATCCTTTTCTTCTCCACTTTGGTTTCCGTAACCGATCTTTCATGTTTCTCCTGCATCCGAACCAATGTCTCTTCGCATGATCTTAAAGCTGTTTCGGCCATAACATTTCGAGCCTCATTGTCTTCAATGACTCTACCTTCACCAAATTCATCTTCCAAACCACAAATTTTCTGTTGCATTTGGTTTATCTCATTATCTAATTCCCAATACTTCGCCAATCCACTCTCATAACAACTCTTGGCAAACTCTTTCTCGGTTTGCAATGCCAGGACTTGTTTATGAAGCCTATCAATCTCTTCGATTCCCTCCGCTTTCATCGATCCAGATTTAGCAACTGCAATGGTAGCATCTTTTGATGATTTCTTATGTTGCATTTTCTTGGTAGCTGCTGTTATTAAACCCTTGACAGGTAGCTCCGGAACCATGGAGATATTGCCTATGAAGTTTTCCGGAGACTCGACCGGGGACCTCGAGGAGCCATACTCGCCATCGTAGTCCATAGAGAACTGGATTTGATCGGGACAAACGGAAGCAATTGTGGTGTTGGCAGTTTGCAGGTCAGCTGATAAGTGATCGTACCGCTCGGCCAACGCACGGTAAGCTTTGTAAGATTCTTCCACGAAACGAATCAATTCTGGCCTCTTTTTGAAGTACATTTCTGCTCTTATCGCAAAGGTGTCTCCGTCTTCTTCAATGAGTTTAAGCACAGATTTTACCTTTTCCTCCATCTCTGCAAATTTCATAGCATTTTCTCAGAGATTTTCCCACTATATATAGATTCAACTGATATAAATTTTCATAATTTAAAAAAAAAAAACAGGAATCTTTATGATTTAAAGCAGGGTAAGGGAAATATAAACGTATAAAATACCTTGAAGATTACGTTCCAACCATTTTGACTGCTTTGTTCTGACATGGCTAGCCCACCACCATGAATATGCATTGCTAGCAGCTCTTTGCAACATCTTTTTTCAAATTCCTTACTTTTCTTCTGTCTCAAAACACCAAAATGCATGCAAGAAAAAGATCGTCTTTCCTGAGTTTCTGCTAACTGTTATAAGAGCCCCAAAAGTATGCAGAACTCGGTGTTTTTCTCTTACAAGTTGTGTTCTTTTTATTGAATCTTTGTATTCTGAAAGCAATGAAGCTTTCTTCTTTATTTATTTATTTTCAAATAAGCCGCATTGTGCCATAAAAAATCAGTTCAAACGTTTTAGCCAGTAGCATACCTCCCGTGGCATGCTTGCCTCGATTTAACCCATTTTTTCTAATTTAGTTATGATATTTAGTTTTCCGAAGTGTCGAAGAAACAATCAATTTTATTAGAAATGTAAGTTGTTTAAGCTAAACTAAGTCTATTAATGGCTTCGGTTACACTCGATTAATGGAACTTTTTGTTTTGAACTAATTCAATTTGGTTCTGTTCATAATTATTCAAAATTCAATTTTAAAAAATTAATTATTTCATGTAAGATATTAATGCTTCCATATTTTGATAATAGAAGACCCATTTAGTTATAAAAAAATATTTCCGAGCTGACCAAATACTTGCATATTGATCAGTCCACCGCAGACTTGGAATGTGATGGTAAAAGGTTGAATTCCTTTATTAATTTCAACTAGGCACCGAATCGAACGAACACGAACGGGGTATGTTCATGTTCGTTCGTTTAACTTTAATTGAACAAATGAAAGAACACGAACATAAACGAACGAAAAATTTATTGTTTGTGATCGTTCGTTAAGGAATGTAGCTTGTTCGTGTTCTTTCATTTAAATGATAAACAAACACAAATGAACGGACATAAACGAACGTATGTAAACGAACACAAATGAACGGACGTAAACGAACACAATAATGAACATAAATGAACGTAAACGAACATAAATGAAAATAGATTTTTTTTCTTTCCTAACAATTGTAGGATTATATTTTATTTAATTGTTTTTAATTTTTTTTTATTTGTATTTAAAATTAATTGAATTTAAAATATTTATGGGTATCAGATTAAAATTTATTGGGCTTTAATATTTTAAACGGGTCTAGAGAGATTGAGCTAAACATAAATGAATGCACATAAACGAACGAACATAAATGAACGAACATATTACCGAACGTTTACGAACGTAAATAAACGAACGAACCTTCTGTTTATGTTCGTTCATTTAATTAAACGAGCATAAAATATTGTTCATGTTCGTTCGTTTAATAAATAAACGAACTTCCCACCAAACGGTTCACGAACGATTTGCTTAACATTCGATTTATTTACAGGCATAATTTCAATTTGAAAAAGATCTTTTAATAGCGTTTAAGATCAAAGTTAGGAAACGATGTATCGGGTATTTAATTATTTTTAGAAATTATTTGAAGAACTAATTTTCAGCATTTGCAGTTAATTATTCTATTGTGCTAAGAAGAAATAGGGGTTTAAGTGACAATTTAAGACATCTTAGTCTTTAACATTTCAAATTTTAGTAAAAATAATTTATGTCAAATGAAAATCATTAGTTGACTAATAGCTAGTACAATACTTGTCTAACTCGTATCAGGAAGGAGTTGTCATGCACTCTAATTATCTTAGTCTTGCGAGTTCGTCTAAGAGTGTTGGATGCCTTCGCTTGGCATCAGGACTTGCTTTATTTATGATCGTTGAGATGCATTTGTCCTAGCACTTAAAGAGTAAACAATTCCTCACTGCTCCTACAAAAAAAAAGAAAAAAAACCCTTCATCCGTCGAGCAAAGATGTCTCTGAAGACGTCAAGTTGCCTTTTCTCCTGGTTCAAGATAATTACTTCGCTGCTTCTCCTTAAAAATAATGGTCTAAAAAGCTAAGATGTCTTTATCCTGGTAATTCGAATTATTCTAGCGACACTTACATAGGGCATAGAGTTGTCTCTACCCGAAATGCGTCGAGCCATCTCTGCATCACTCACGATGTTATACCAGGAATAAGTTATCCCATAATTCATCGAACTTCCAAAGAATATAGGATGTCTCTGCCTAACTAAAAGAAAATTTTGATTGCCACTATAAGCATAGAGATAGAATTGCCACAATAAGGGGAAACAAAAACCTCCCTTGTTACCCATACCATGACAAAGAAGTTTTTGCCCATTAATCGGATTCCTCCGAAGGTGTTAAGTTGTCTCCTATGTTGGCTATCGTCGATAAAACGTTGAGAATCTTCTATAAATATATATATATACACACATAATTAGAGAAAAGATTCCGACCATACTAACTAAAACATCCCCCAAAACGTTGAGACCCTCAGCATGGAATACATACTGAGGCATCACACACATCCTTGAGTTTATTCAAACATCTCACAAACATTGAGCACCATCCGCTGAAAATAAAATATACACAAGCATAGAAATGACTCCACCTAGTTCGCAAATCATTCACCTAGATCTAATACATGCCAAAATAACGGTTAGAACAGCATTCCTATGCAAGTCTTAAGTAACAAAGCCCTCTACAACATGATCACCGCAGAAGCACCGCCGTCTATTCATTAGCATAAACGCTTTTAAAAAAAGAAATAAAGCTCAAGACTTATTCAGCTACTACAACACGCAAACAATAGAAAGTTGCTTGGAGCCTTAACCGGCAACCCCTAAGGAAAGCTTTTGTTTGCATACGAAAGCAAGAATTTTAACTTAAAGATCACTTTTTATCAGCCATTTTTTGGATCATTGCTTCGGTTAAAAGCCATTGGGCGTCATTGCCAATGCTAACGTTATGTGGGGTTTAGAGAGGGTCAAAACTTGAGACTTATAAGATCAGCGTATACCAAACGCACCTTCTCAACAACTCATTCTCGAAGCTTTTTATGGCAAAAACATCTGCAGGATCTTCGTGCAAGCATCACCAATATTTTTATCTATTGTAGCAGGGAAGATATATAAAGATTGAAGGGAGGTCAATCATGCAAATGAGTAGATGTGTGAAGCAGGGATTTCAACTGTTCATAGTAGAGAAAATAGTATTTACAAAATTGATATGATGATATATTACTATAGGGGAAATATCAAAATTATACACAGTAGAAGTGAGCTGTGATAGCAAGGATCATTTCTTGCGTATTCACATTAATATTATTTACAGAACAAACAACAGGAGTTCATCTTTTGTGTTTCAGCGGGTCATTTCAACCGCAAGCAGGGAGGATGACTAACCAAAACAGAGTGAGATCATGGAAATATATCCATCCTCCATGGCTGTTAACCTTCCGCTGAATCATTTATAGAAACTTCACCATCAGACTGTTGGTCAGTTCAGAAGTTCGGGAAGGATGAAAACCACGGCTGCACCGAGTTGCTTCCCTCTGCATGTTTTAGCCAAAATGCAAAGAAAAATGTTATAGGAAAGAGAACATGTACATCTTTTAACAGCTCAGAAACATCCACAAGTCACAAATAACAAGAACTGCAATATGGAATCCACCACATTGAGGAGATAAGATGATAAGTTCAAAGCCTCACTCTATGCCATAGAAAATTATTCATATAGGCAATTAAATATGAATGTTTAAGAGGCACAATACCAAGCAGCTCTAGATATACTTATAAGCATGCAAGCTGAATTAAGGTCTAACATTAATTGACACCTAAACTATAAAAGGTCACTCAAGTTTGAAGCTAGCAACAAATACATTGGAAGGAAGAACGACAGCAGGGCTGCAACATTAATAATTCACTCTGAAAATTGAGATAATGCAAAGTTCACTTGAGACATTTGGACAAGTTCATCAATGATTACCAACCAATTATCTCAAAATTGTAGATACTTCATACTATCCCAACACTTTCCCCCCAAATCTCACTCTAACATGCAAACAAATAAGACATCCAACAATAAAAAAAGGGGATAAAGGATGCAACAGTTTCTGTTTATACTTTTCCCATATTTAAAGGAACTAAAATAGTCACTTTTAACACTAGAGGCTGCTCTCCACCATTCACTAAGTTCAAAACAACTTGTGTGAAGCTTTTATTCCACTTGAATGTATGTTCCATCACAGCTTTCAATAAATTGAAAAATGGATGCTGCAAGAATTATGTGCTGTGACCATGCAAGCAGCTACACAGGCTGCAAAAAAACGTAGAACTTATTTCATGATGTTACCTAGTAAACTAGGTTTTAAGCAACCCGACGTTCTAGAAACAAAGAAAATTTCGGGTCGAACTGCTCTCTCAATTGTTTCAAACTACAGAATAGTGATATAACTGTGAAGTAGAGACAGCAAAAGCTTACAGTCAAAGCACAAACAGGTATAAGGAACGATAAGTGCAGGATTAAGTTCTCACCAGAAGAGAATCCAGTAGGGAGGTTCTCGATTGCATTCAAGAGCTGGTTATTGGGGCTTTCAACGAGTTCCTTGCAACCAGATCTATAAGATGGAACCAGAACAGCAAACCCACCATCATCTTCATCGTGGCTTTGAAAACCAGGACCATGTGGTTCTTCCCACCCAATGGACCATTCCGGACCTTCTGAGTCATATCCAGACAAATGTACACCATCTGATGGAATCACCACAACATCGCATTCTTTATCTATCACCCTCCTCTCCTCGTTGCCTTGCCACTTTGCCTTTCCTTTCCTTTGGGATATCTTTGTTTGGAATTTAACAGTTTCAGACTCTCTCAAGCCCAATCCCCAGTCACAAGAAGAAGAAGAAGAAGAAGAAGAAGAAGAAGAAGAAGAAGAAGAAGAAGAATTCAGAGGATTTAAAGAAGAACCATTTGAAACAGGCTGTTTCTCCTTATTTCCACCACCCCAAAACCACCATGGAAAACCGGGAAAAGAAACTGCCATCTTTTAACAACATTAAAACTCCATAATCACTTTTTTTAAAAGTTTAAATGGTTAGCTTTCTTGGAGTAAGACAATCAATTAAGCCATCAATCTAGTTCAAAATTAGAACAAAACTTGGAAAGATATTAAATGAATCCAATATTTTTTCAATCATAATTGAAGTAAAAAACTTGTAATTATGGCTCTAGGAAACTGTCTGCTCTACTGATTCTTTTTTCTTTTGTTTAAAGCAAAACAAAATTATCCAGTGAAACGGGTCTTTTTCTAACACCAATTGTTTTCCCCTTAAAAGTCCACCGTTCATGAACCTTATTTTTCTTAGCTCAAAAGGTGTTCAGCTAGAGTCGTCAAAAACACAGAACACCACAAATTTACAACTTCCACCTTAAAAAAACAGTTCCTTTTAGTTTTTTTATATATAAAAAAATTGTTCAAAGCTCAAATTTTTTAAAACATGTGGTTCGATTTTGATTCAAAAAAGATCTTCCAAAGAAAATCGAAATAATCCATGATTGCCAAATGAAATAAGAACTGGGAGAAAAGAATTTCACCGGAAAAAAACTTAGGCTTTTGATCGAGTGGATAAGAAAAACCGAAGCTTTTCGAAAAGCATGTAAAAATCACTGGTAAAAAAAGGTAGAATTAAACATATCGGAGGAGGAGAGAGATTTCATTAACCAATGAATAACTAAAAGGGAAAATAGAAAACCCTAAATTTTACGGTCTCTCACTCATCTGCATTTTTTCCCATTTCTTTCCCTCAAAAGGTTCCTCTTAACCGATAAATGTAGTCTTCTCCTTGAGTTCATAGATACTATTTTAAATGGTGAAAAAAATAGAAAAATGCATCCAACGGTCAAGATGCAATGATTGAAGTTGATGATTAAAGGTTTTTTTTATATATTAAAATATAGGGTAAAACATACTACTATATACTAGTTTATTAAGTCTTTTAATTATTAAAAAATTACAAATTAACTTCTTAATTATAGAGAGTTATTTTGTTGAGTCACTCGATTATTAAAAGTTAGAAAATGATTATCTGACTATTTATTATGTTTCAAACTTATCATTTTTATTAAAAAAAATTAACGTCAGTATAAGTAGGAAGTTAACTTGTTGACTAATATATAACAAAATATAATCTCATAATCTCAAACTAAAATTATTATCATATCTCAATTCGTATGTTAACGTTTAACTTAGACGATCGTTAATTTTTAAACAGAAAAGAATGAGTTGGAACATAATGAATAATTTGATAAACATTTTGTAACTTTTAATAATCGAGAGATTCAATAAAACAACTCTTTATAGTCGATTGATCATATTATAACTTTAATAGTCTATATACTCAATAAAATTATATCTTATAGTCGATTGATCATTTGTGTACTTTTAACTTAAAATATAAAATATATATTTTGAACGTTGATTGAGCGAAAAGTGGAGTGAGGAATGTCCAGATTTGCTGACGTGGGTACCGTAAATTCCAATCATTGAGTGTTTAAGCTTCCAACAGCTCATCCCCTGGGTTTATCGAATACTAAATAGGTATATAATGAAAGCTTACATCGTTTATCAATTTGATTATTGTTTTTTCAATTAAATTTTACTCTTTAACCGTATTTCCTAATCAATTTCATCGTACTTCAAATTTAATAATATTACACCATTAAAATTCACAATGACATTCAAGTTAGGGATCACCGGAAGAATGAAATTCACCTTCTCTCGTTTGGTTGTCAATAATTTTATTCTCGATAATATTTTATTACCAACAGTAAATTTTTTTAGGTATATTATCGGAAATGTCATTACCTCATTCCCTTATGTATTGTTAGATTACCGGTGTTTTTGACTAAAATGCCTTTAATTTTTTTTCAAAAATATCATTATTCTTTCATTGAATAATAAAAATTCAACGAATATTACGTTACAAATTTATCCTTAAACTATTTTAGATTTACAAAAAAAATCTATAATTAAAATTTTATATGAAGTTCAGAAGTTAAAATAAAATTTTACCCTCTCATTAAACCTTTTTTATATTTTCAATTTTGTAAAAAAAATATATATATATATAAATTTTATGAATTTAAATTTTTTAAAGAAAATATATAAATATTTTATAGTAATATTATAGTAGAATTCAACTTGTTAAAAAAACAAATATATAATAAGGACAATTTGGTCAAATATACATTTCAATAATCTTTTATTCCTTTAACCAAACACGGTAATCTTACATTCCTGTTAAACCAACCAAACACAAAATACAACATTCTAGTAATCCTATTCTCTGGTAATCTTTTATTCCCACCGGTAATCTTACATTCCGTGAACTAAACGCACCCTTATTGTCATATTATATTATTATTTAAAATAACTATAAAAATCTAAAAATTTAATATATTATTTTTCTAATTATTTGGAGATTTTCGAATTGACTATCAAATAACTCGTTTCAGCTCGTTAAAAATTTGAGTTGATTTCAAGCTTGAGTTAATTCAAATCAAATATTGATCAAATTTTAATCGAATCAATTTCAAATAACTCACTATTTATCTTGTCTTATTTACTACGCTAATTGTATGCAATGTTTTTGTTGAAGATATTGATATCCTCTCTAGGTTTGTAAACGAGTCAAATCGAGTTCGAGTATTGCTGAACTCGACTCGACTTGAAAACTCTGAAATGAAGCTCGACTCGACTCGAAAACTCGCGAGCCTAAAATTTTCAAGTTCGACTTGAACTCAAAATCATGAATCGAAGCTCAAAAAGGCTCAAAATAAAAAAATCTTAAAATTAATCCGGTTAAAACTAAAACTTGAATTCAACCTAAATCTTAAATACATTTATATTGTATTTTTTTAAAAAATCAACACATAAATATTAATATTTTATATTTTTTAAAAAATAAAATTTGAGTATATTATTTTTTGAGTAGCTAGTGAGCTTTTCGAGTCTAATATGAAATAGCTCGTTTCAGCTCGTTAAAAACTCGAGCTCGAGTTGAGACTATTAGAGTCGAGTATTTATCAAATTTTAATTGAATCAATCTCAAATAACTCGCTATATAACTCGTTTCATTTACATCGCTACCCCTCTCCGCCGCAAAGGATGAGATCATGTAATAATGAAATTTATCAATCATCAAACATGTCCTTGGGTTTTATTTGGATATCAGGCCTCTATGCTCCACCTGATTTCCCAAAAGTAAATTTGAGGCCCTAAGCAATCGTTAAGGATGCTCCTCCTATTAATCAGTTCTAATATTTGAATAAGCTTTTAGATATTTGTATTCTATTTTATAAATGAGGAGACGAAGACTTCTAAACTCATCAAATGCTTTCGGTGGTCAAAAGAAAAGTTATTATCCTTATAGGTATTGGGTTAGAGTAGTCGTATCTATAGAACGTGTGTTGTCAATAGGTTAATTTTTTTTTAAACATATACTTCATTGTAATCATCTCATACTATTCAAAAAGAAAACAAACAGAACCCCTAAGGGGGCATTTGGTTCAGGGTATCTCACATTACCGGAGAAATGTAATGTCATTCCCCGTTTGGTTGGCAAACATTCTCAGCCCCCAGTAATAAGTTATTCCCAGCAGTAGTATTTTGGGGTATATTACCAGGAACGTGATTACTTTCTTCCCTTAGATATTATTACATTCCCGACATTTTGAAATAAAATGTCCTTAATTTTTTCCCCAAAAATATCATTCTTCTGTCGTTGAATAAAAAAATTCTACGAATGTTAAATTACAAATTTATCCTTTAACTATTTTAGATTTACAAAAAAATCCATAATTAGAATTTTATATGAAGTTCAGGGGTTAAAATAAAATTTTACCCTTTCATTAAACATATTTATCTTTTTAATTTTGTAAAAAAATTATATAAATTTTATGAATTTAAAATTTTTAAAGAATATATATAAATTAATTATAATAATATTATGGTATAATTCAACTTGTTAAAAAAACAAATATATAATAAGGACAATTTGGTAAAATATACATTCTAATAATCTTTTATTCATTTACCCAAACACTGTAATCTTACATTTACTAAACGAACCAAACACAAAATACAACATTCCCAGTAATCTTATTCCCTCCGATAATCTTATTCCCGCCGATAATCTTACATTCCGTGAACGAATCGCACCCAAAATATAAAGCGGTGAAATTTGAGGATTGAGTTGGAAGCGACGATTAATTTGCAACGACCTTAACTTGTACATTGTTCCCAAACTTGATTTTTGTCTATAAGAAACACAAGAAACTCTTGTGTCGATATCAAGCGAGATGAGCTAAACAACAAGCGTTTTTGTTTCCGAAGTGGCAAAGAGCCACAGCATGTGGTTTCAAACTACTCGTGTCCCAGCACATGAACAAAATCAAAACCGATCCCAACATTGCTTTAACCTCCTCGACCCCAAAGAGGCTTGTTGGAGGAATATCATTGTCATGTTCACTTTCTAATGTTATTATCGGATGAAAAATGGTACATTATCAATAATACTTATTGTCTGAGAATATCAATGCGAATGTCATTACGACATATTTCTTATGAAATGTAATATTCTTGTGCTAATATTACATTTTAAATATTTTGATAAATGCACACATATATGTTAGTTGTATTAATTATATATATATTTTTTAAATATGGAGAAAAACTTATAAACAATAGACCCTTACATCATATTCTTATTATAGAGACGAACTCACATGGTCATGAAAGTAAAATAATAGACATAGTACCAAATTTAAAAGCCTTAGATTCTAAAGGGTACAACTTTAATCAATGATCATCATAGTCTATGAGATTTAAGAATGAGACCTTCAAAGTTTCTGAAAAGATATAATTAAAAGAAAGATCACATCTCCAACTTTTTTATTATAAGATTTTTTCATAACCAATCGAAATATCTTATGAGGAAAAATATGATATTAGCACACAAACTTTCTTCATAAAAATGGAAGTACTGAGAAAAGAACAAATTTATTTTCTTTATAAAGGATCATAATTTTAAAATAAAAATTATAAAAAATGAATATTTAGTTGCATTATTATTGTTTGATATATAAAAAAAATGATAATTTGTTTGATATATGAAAACAAAAATTATAAAAAAAATGATAATTTAGTTCTGTAATTATTATTTGATATCAATAAAAAAATTTATT